ATCATACATCACATGTATAAATCATCATCATGTATGACTACTAGATAATAATAGAAAATAATAATCAAATAAACTTTTAATTAATAAATAAATATTTTTTTGAAATCAGGGATATGTAGAGAATTTTTTGAATTCTGAGGGGTATTTTTATAATTTAGGTAAAAGATAGAATCTGAAATTTCTGAAATTTCGAGGGGTAAAACAATCTTTTGCCCAGAAAACCCTAAGCCCCTTTCTCCCTCTTTCCTACTACGGTCGCCACTACCTTGCCGGCTTGTGCGGCGAGGGGGCGTCGCCCCCGTGGGCCGCCCTCGCGGGCGGTTCTACCTGCGGGGCATTGCCCCGCCCTCACCCCGTGGGTGCAATGGCCACAAGCACCGTTGCCCTACAGTGCCTCTGCATGCGGGCTGCTAGTGGTAGCACCAACGGGCTACCGGCCCTCGCAGGCTGTCGGCCGTTGGCAGATGGCAGCGAGGGTAGCAACAATTGCTGCCATTTCAAAAGCATCAACTATTTTGACGTCAAAAGCTTCTCCAAAACACAATCCACGTAGTTCAAAACCAATTTTCGCACGAACAACCTGGCTCTGATACCACTATTAGGAAATCTTGGGGGTGACATCATATGCGCAACAGAAGAATAAAAAATAAAATCCCTAATTCCCAAAGATATGTTCGTCGTCATGCAAAGATTGGTGTGTAAAAATCCGTGAAATAGAAAACCACGTGTGAGATAGATTGTGTTACCTAGGGAGATCGTATATCCCTGAATCCCTATAGATCTATAGGAGAGAGTGAAGAAGGTCAAGCGCCCTCCTCTCTAGCGGTGATCCACATAGCAGGGGCTGCAATGATGCTCCTCAAAACTCCAGGCCTGCTCTGAGGTGGAGAGAGGAAGGAGAATAGGAGAGTAAGCAAAAAGCTCTAGCCTATAAACTATTGAAACCCTCCTATTTATAGAGGTCTCATATCAACTTAACCATAATGAATCCACCCCTATTGGGTATTGATCTTCATCCAACTACTCAAACCTCTTATATTAAGTGGATCTCTATCCAATAATTTCTCATAGGCTCTTATTTGATCTCATCCATAGGATCCAATAATTCATGGGCTTATTGCATATCTAATAAGATAGGGGCTCCGATGGATATCTCATATCCAAACATCTACTCATCGCAATGTCTACCATATGTGTGTGACCCTCTAGGCCCAATATCGAGCTGGCCGTGAGTCATATCTGTCAGAACTCCTTTTGACTCAATAAATTATTATCTTCATAATAATTCACTCAACTCATCGACTACAGACGTACTAGGCCACTACGCCGTAGTCCCCAAACGATATAGGAGAATCCAATCCATTGGACATGTCTGTCCTTAGTTATTGTATACCTATAGTCTCTCATCCATCTAATATTCTAGAGACCATATACCGGGCATAATGCTATCAGACCCATACGATTTCTACTTGAGTCTCGCTCTAATCGGATTCTCTCGGAAAACTCTTTCTCTCTCAATCTGAATGACCCTTGCTAGGGATTTGTTTGAGCAAGAACATATGAGGCATTCCTCTCATGACACTGAGTGTATGATCCTCTATCGACACTCAATAGCCATCGTAAAATTGACTATCACTCATGATGACCGATTGTGTTAGATCTAGGACATCCAAACCTATAAATCTAGTATCAAAGAGTGGAGCACTCATATAGGACATCCTTGGTGTCTCAAGTCTAAGGACCAGATATACCACTATGACTACGAAATCGTTGTTTAACAATAAGGCATTCTCAACTATTCAACATTCCGTAAGCGGATCAATCAGTGAACTCATTCCCCAATAAGCACCTGTATTGTATCCCTAGTGTCCCCACACGAGTAGCTATGAGACCAACTACATCCATCATATTGACCGGTATACAACACACTAGTCTATCCGGTTATCTTGATGTCCCTCTCGAGTAACCTATGATCGGGATTATTTAACATCGGTGTTTAAAGGTGAATCGACCTCATTATCGTGATCTTATCACGATCCAATTCCTATTACGCAGATCCAAGGACATCACTATATATATATATATATATATATATATATATATATATATAT